ACATAGCCATCTTCCTGGAGAGCAATAAGGAGGTCCACCACCGAGGTGAAGGCGAAGACTGCGAAGACTATGGGGAGAGTAGACAGGGCATGGGCTGGGTATGGGCAGGGCACAGACCAGGTATGGGTGGGCCTGAGACTACAGGTTAGGGGCCCAGATTCCAGGCAAGCGCTCTGCACAAAACTGCTCCCAGGCCCCACCCTACAGGTCACATGACCCACACAGCTCTGCTTCATGATGAGGCACAGACCCTGCCTTTAGGGGTCCCCAGGCTGATGGAAAAGGCACTGTCCCTGCCCTCAGGAGCCCCAAGTCAGAAGGGGGAGGCCCCTTGAGGTTCCCCACTCAGTGGGGGTTCTCCAGTCTATTTGAGGTTCTCTAGTCTGATGAAGGCCCTTCAAGAGCTGCCAATCTGATGGAGGGGGCCCTTGGCCAGACAGTTTTCTTCCCCAGGACCATCCCACTAGCTCACCAGCATACAGTGGGTCATAGTAGATATCACCTCGGGACAAGCTGTATATAGCCAAGAAGAACAGTCCCAGGATCAAGGCGCTCATCAACACCACCCCCAGGGGGCTGTGGAGAGGAAAACCAAGTCAGGAAGGCCAGGCCCATTGCTGAGGCCCCACCCATCTTGGTAACAGCAAAAGCAGACCCCAGAAAGCTCCAGGTGATGAGCATCTCTCTGTCCAGGTAAGTCCTTGCCTGAAACTCCCCCTTCCTCAGCAGCTGTTTCCCTCTCCTGGAAACGCCTTCCAAAAGTCTCCTTTCCATTTGGCAAACTCCTACTCATCCTTCATAGCCCATCTACATTTCTCCTCCAGGAAAGCTTTCTCTGACTCCTCAGAAAGGATCATTGCCTGACTTGGGTCAGGTACAGAGTGAGCATCTGTCAGCCTCTTCTGATTATACAATTTAGCTAGTCACTTGCTCATTCATTCAACAGCTCCAAGACTCTCTGTTGCCAGAGTCAGTGCCCACATCTGCCAGAGGGTCTCTAGTGCTCAGCTCTGTACACCTCATTGTCTGAAGCTCCTGACCCCTCCCAGGTAAAGTCCAAACGCTTCCATCAGCTCCACCCCAATCCTGTACTGATCTGTCCCCATCAACCTGATAAGGCAGGTCAACCAGTTGTAGAGATAATAGAAGCCAGGACTCTGGACAGCCCCCAACACTTGGCAAACCAAGGCCCAGAGAGGGCAGGAGATCTATCCAAGGTCACACATTCTTCCCCATATTCTCTCCAGGCCCCTACCTTCTCCTGAATCCCTGAAACTGAGGCTCCCAGAGGCAACCTGGCTCACTCAGGATCCAGGGGGAAAGGAGCCAAGTATTTGTATCCAAGGAGCCAACTCCAGAATCAAGGCTCCCTCTGCCCCATGTCTTGGGTTGTGCTGGGTTTTGGAGTGTGAAGGGCTTGTAGATGCCCAGTACCCAGGACTGAGTGAGGTCTAGAGTTAGGAGATAGGGACGGGGGTAGGAGGAATTGAGGCATGCAGGGGAAACTGAGGCTAGGGACAGGGTGGGTCAGCCCTGAAGAGAAGAAAGTCCCAGGCCTGACACAGGCGACAGAGGGACAACATGGTAGGGGTGGTGCTGCAGACTGTGTGTGTGGCAAGAGCCAGGTCACTAGGGCCTTATCTGGGGCAATACTTTGACCCTTGGTGACTTTGGAGCCTGTGCTGGGCACATCCCTGGGAAAACTCCAGAAACCTTCCAAAATCCTGCTTTGTTGGGGGCTCTGCTTCTCAAAGTCCCTCCTCCCCAGGCCCTAACCATCCCAGGAGGGCCCCCAACTCCACCTCACAGCTCCAGGGTGGCTGGAAGGGGGTTTCCGGTTGGAGGTGGTGAGGTTCCTCTGACCCAGCCCCCATCCTCCTAGGCCGGAGCAGCGCCAGGGCGCAGGGCTCCCGGGGGCCCGCGCATCCTCTCTCCCTCCCGGTTCGTACCCTGTATCCGAGCCCCTCCGCCCCTCACCCTGAGGAGGCCGCCCCGGCCCCTCCCCGCACGCACTACGAGAGCGCCGAGACGTGGTTGAGCGCGTAGGACAACGGGAGTGCACCGAGCGACAGAACTGCGATCTTGCCCGCCAGCGGCGGGATGTCCATAGCGGCGGCGCCCGGACCCCGGCTTGGCTTCTGCTCGGCGGTGCGTCTGGGCGCGGAGTTGTCAGGGACCCAGACCCGCCCGGCCCCGCCTTGCGCAAAGGTCGCCCCCCGCTGCACCCTGGCCAGGTCGCCGCCGCTGTGACTGCCCTGCGTGACTGCCCCTGCGAGGCTCCCGGGGACGCCCTCCCAACGGCCCCCTCCCCCTCCGACAGCCTCGCCGGACTCTGCGCGGTCCCCACTGGCAGTCTCTGTCGCCCAGCCGGTTTCCCTCTCTACGAATGCTAGCTAGAACACGTTCCTCAGGATGCTTCCGTTTCTGCGACATAGAGGCCCCAGCCAGCAACGTTACTCCAAGGGAATTCGTTCTTCGGGCCTCGTTCTGCACTTCTTTCTTCCCTCTAAGGCACCAGCATCCTATCTTCTACCCCGAAGAGGACCGTTTTTTAACTCATCACACTCCCTAGAACTCCCTCCTGCCCAGAATCAAGCATTGTCTGTGCGCACTGACAGAGGAAACTCATCCGCTTGGATGGAGTTCCTTTTAGTGCCCTTGGGTTTGAGTTTTCATGCCGTGGTCACAGACAAATTTAAACACGTGTCCGAGTTGAATTTTTTTTCCCCAGATGTGAAGCTTTGACTGGGCGGGGGTAGGCAATTCAAGGCAGAGGGCCACAGCCCTGGGTTGGGGGTCCCTTAAAGGACTCCATGCTCCTTCCAAGTAGTCTGCTCACGTGGATAGGATCTAAGAAATGGGGCCCACAGTGCGGCTGAGATTATAAAGTGGGGATGGAGCCAGTTTGGTGAGTTTGGGAATGGTGTTCCTGGCAGGGAGAATAGCTCAGGCTTGGGGCTGAGCAGCAGAAAGGAGGTACTTAGGGCTAGGGGGTGATGGAGGGTCATGGAGCAAGGTAGGGTGGGCTTGGGAGGGTTCTGAACAGCCTGGAGGAGGCTGGGCTCCATCCAGGGGCAAATGCAAGGGGGCAGGGATGGACACAGGTGTCTCAGGGTAGAGAGAGAATTAGGAGGCAGCTTTTTGTCAACCCAACTAGCCTAGGATTCTTGCCTATGTGGCACTTGTGGCTGCAGGAAACAGGGTGAGTGATGCCCACCTGATTCTTGCCCCATGAGTACCCAGTCTATGACTAGGGGAAAATCGTATCCCTCACATCCCCAACCCCAGTCCAGCCAAGGCCCCCTTCTCCATGGGTCAGTTGGGTCCCATCTCTTAGCCTGGGTGACAAGATGATCTGGTCACTGACCTGAGAGCCTCCTCCCCAAGTGCCAGGTGCCTGTTGGGTGAAGTTCAGGTTCCTCTGGGCCGACCTGAGTCTACAACCTTGTTTCTTGACCTTCCCCAATTCTAGTGGTGCCAATACCCCACAGACTTCTTTCTCTCCCGTGTCTGCAAGATGGAGATATCTTGTATTTCCTCACCCCTTAAAGCAGGCCCCAGTGTGTCCTCCTCCAGGTAGCTCTCCCTGCCACTCCAGCCCCACTTCTCCCCCTGGAAGAGTATCTGGCCCAGCTCTGTCTAGGGGCCTGAACTTGTACCCCACATCTGGGAGATGCCTGCACACACATGGCATTTGGAGGCCTCCTTTTCCAACTCTCCTCCTGGCTGGGGCTAAAGTCCACAGTGAATCTGGCAAGCTTCCTGTTCACTAAGAATTAAATTGAAGGTTGACTCTGACCTGGACAGTGGGGTGTTTGGGACCAATGTCCAGGGTCCCCATCACAGAACCTCTGGCTGCCCAGAGCTACACCCTTGTACTCAGGACTCCAGACTGCTGGGCAGGCTCCATGTCACCCCCTTGCCCTGACCTGGATACAGTATCCATGGAGGGGAGACAAGGTTGTGTGCCACCCCAACCTGGGATCTGCCACTGAGATTCCCAGACCCTGGGCCCCCCTCATTGAGACACTCCCCAGGCCACCTCCACCACAGGTCCTGATTTCTCCATACAGCATCTATCAGTCTCAGCTTGTGCTAGGGGTTTACGGCCATGGCCCCGGCAGACTATGGCTGCCTGGGGCAGATCCCATCCATCTGGTTCACAGTCAGTGTTTCGCGTTTGCTGAATGACCGTGTGAACTGCAGGCTGGCTCAGAAGCCTGATGCCAGCTAGAGTCCTCAGACCCCATGAGCTCAAAGGAGTTGAGCAGGACCCACTGGGTGCATGTAAGGGGCAGATGGGTGAGTTATAGGGGCCCCTCAGTTCCCCACACCGATACTCCAAGCGTTGCTCGCAGACTTCTGAGACCCTGCCCAAGATGCTCACGCAGCAGCTGCAGCTGAACAAGATCCCCAGGTGGTTTCTGCACTAATGTGAGGCACCAGCTCTGGATGCGTGGTGAGCCCTTGGCACACACCTTGGCCTGGGCTATCCATTAGTCTCCCCTCCCCTAGGAGGTATGTCATGTCTTGGTGTGGTGTATCCGTCACAAAGCTGTCCCCCAAAGCCACAAGCCCTGGGGACTCATGTGTCCACCACACTGGTAGGACCTTGGGCAGCTACGGCAGCAGCCATCACCAGCCAAGTTTGCTGTGTGTAGGGGGCCCTGTCAGTGCCATCTATCAGAGGTCAGGGGCACAAGTGTGCCCTGGGTCCACCTGCCTTGCGGGTCTAAGGGAGGACTGGATCCTGCCTGGAGACCCTTCCCCAATCTCCTCCTGCAGTGCACTGCTAGGCTGGGAGGTCCCTGAAGCCCCTGGCCCAGAGGCAGCCAAATCTTGACCCTCTCCACAGGTCTTCCCCTCAACTCCAACCCAGGCCCCCAGGAGCAGACAAAGGTCAAGGTGGTTCTCCAGGGTCCTTGCCGCTGGGTAGCCTTCACAGAAGCAGCCTGTCCCCACCTGCCCAGTACGGTCCTGCTGCTAAGAAACAGGAAGGATTTCTGGTGATGGCAAGACCAGGCTGCCACAGCAGGCAAGCACTGGAATTTTAATACACAGCACGACACTCGACACAAGGGCGGGCAGAAGTGCAGGCCAGAAGACTCCACAGTCCAGGGACGGTTGGTCTTTTGGAAAGTACATTTGTGCGTTTCTCCAGAGTACTCAGTAGTAAGGCCGCCTTGGGTTGTTCTGTGGGAAGCAAGGTAGATAAAAAGGGGAGGTTTTGCTATGTTAAAGAAAGATAGCAGTTCCTCCCATCTAGAACCTACTGGGGACAGCTGAGCTCAAATCCTCTAAAAGGGAGGGCAGGAAAGCTCGAACACAGGTGGTGAGCTTGGGGTATGGGTTTGCTGGTGAGCCTAGCTGGACTGAGGAAGAACAGACACTCGTTACTGGCACCACCACCCATTTACAGTGGACTGTGAGGAACTGTGGCGGCACAGCCAAATGCAATATAGGGGGATAGAGACACACGCACCAGGGGGTTGGGCCGGAAGCGGTAAGCCAGCATCATCCTCTTGCGGAAGGCCTCATACTCGTCATCTTCCTTGGAGAGTTCAGCTGGCCGGTCAATGCCAAAGCCAGCACCATCTACCGTGGTGGTGCCCCTGCATGGGGGCAAGAGGCAGTGTGAGCAGGAGAGTGGGCTGGCACCGGCAGGAGAGATGGACCTGAGCTTGGGGCAGGGAGGCCTCACCTGAACTGGGTGGGCTCAGCAGAGCACCCCAATGCAGTTCAATGTGGGTACTACACTGGGCTTGGCAACATCCATCCGGGACACTCCTAACATTGTGGGAAGATGGAGAGCCTAAGATAGCCCAGCCAGCAGAATCCATACCCCTGACTGCCAGCCCAGCAATAGGACTGGACCCAGGCCCTGAGCCTATGTGTCCATGTGGGTCCATTCTTCCTGCCCTCCCCCTGGCACTGGAGGCCATACTCACTTGTTGACTGGGTTCTTGATGCCCTGGCCCTCTGAGCCCAGCCCATCGCCCTCCTTCCAGCCCATCTTCATCAGCATCTGGTAGCCAATGTTCTCTATTGTCAGCTTGAACTCCTTGTACTCTGAATAGTCAGGTTCACGGCCCTCCTGCGGGGGAGGAGACTGATGATCATCCAACAGGACTGCAGCCATGCCCAGTCCCAGCTCTGGCCTGAAACCCTACCCTTACATAGCCTCAATGGCCGCTGGGACCACCTGCCGATCTGCCTCCCCACCAGCAGGTCAAACTCCTTGCGAAGAGATCAAGCTGCTCCTCAGGGTCCCCAGGGCCAGAAGTAGTGCTGAGCTCCCTAGTGGCCTAGTCAAAGGGTGCAAGGTGATAGGTGACTCAGGTTTTGTCTGCCATGGGAAAGATAAATGGTTCATCAATAAAGAATAAAATCCCATGTTCTAAGAGCAATTTAACACAGAGTGCTAAAAAGCAGCTGTGGTCAAGGAGGTGATGAGATTATGTAGTACAAAACAGTTTTACAGAAAACCCCAAAAGATGACAGGGGACACTCCATGTGAGACCTCTCCTCTTAAGCACGAAGGCAGTATGCGAGGACTGTTAAGTTTTCATTCTGGAGAGCCCAGTACGTGGGGTGTCTGCCTGAGAAACGCTTTGCCTGTAAACTGCACTTAATTGGCTCCACTGGAAGCAGTATTTCCCTAAAGCCCCAGGAAATGTTTCTGAAGCGGCAGCTGAGCTGCTATTTGCTAATTCCCTACACAGATGGTATTTGTCATAAACAGATGCCTCCTGTGGCAAGAGGGCCCAACTCCTACTGTGCGCATGGGGGACCGTGAGGCTACTGCAGGCGCCTGCCGCGCGAGGAGGCTACGGGAGGAGCAGGCCGCCTGCTAGTCAGGCCTACAGCAGGGGCTGGTGCCAGAGCCCTCCCGGCCTACCTTCAGTGCCTTGAAGGTCTCCATGAACTTCTCCAGCTCGTCTGGTGGCAGGAAGTCCCCGATGAAGTGCTTACCCCGGCCCATCTTCGTCAGCTGCTCTGCCCATTCTGCCCAGAGATGAGGTAAAGGTGAGAGGAGGATGGAGCGTGTGGCAGCCCCACAGCACAAGTATGAGTGTCGAGGGGAGTCTTGGGCCATGGGGAACGAGGCAGCTGGCTGAGACCTCGACCTGAGCCCCTGATCTCCCACGCAGCCCTTCTGTGTACCACGTTTAAATGCCAGTTAACTATCCTTTCACCACTGAAGAAACTGAGGCACAAAGAGGCCAAGTCTCCTGCCCAAGGCCTTAAGGCTGGGCAGGTGACTTAAGACCCCAATGTGGTGCCTCCAGGCAATTCCTGGGCAGGTGAATGGGGCTTCCTGAGCCTGCAGAGCCCTGAAGGCAAGGCCTCAGCCACGCACCCCCCAGCCCACCCCATCCCTGTGATTCGCGCCTTGGCCCACCCCGAGTCTTGTCCATCTCCATGCGCCGCAGCTGGTGCTCCCAGGTGCCCAGCTCGCTGTCCACCTCCTCGTCACTGTCGTAGCCGTGCTGGTGCTGCTGCAGTGCCTTCTCCCACAGCAGCTGCATGTCCTGCATCGCGCGCTTGTGCTGCATGATCATGTCGTACATCTGCTGCATCTGTGGGTGGCACATGCCAGTGAGCAGGGCCGTGCACCACACATGCAGGAGGCTAGCTCCCACCTCCCGTGCATGCTGGGCACCCCTCTTCCCAACTCTCTGAGGCCAACTCATGAGTAGGACTTGGAGCAAGTGTTCAGAAAGACACTGAGTCCTGTGTCAGGACATGCCCTGGGTTCCCCGAATCTGTTTGGAGCAGGGAGGACACCTCTCTGCCTTGCCCAGAGCCTGGGGCCTGGCCTGGAACCTGGAACATCATGAGCATCATCACTGTGGACCAAATGAGGGCGAGGTGGCTCCTGACCCCTGGGAGGGTTGAGGGTGATGTAACGGGGCTGCCAGCCTGGAGGAGGTGGCCCGGGTAAGCTGTCCCAACTGTTCTAGCTGTCTTGTGTCCTGGCCACAGAGTTGTCAGCTAAGCCAGCCCTCATTCCAACACTACCCAACACCAACTGAGCAGCTGTCCCATTGTTCAGGGTACCCAGTGCCAGACAGGCCTACCCTGTACTGAATGCTGTAGGGAACTGGAAGGAAAACCAAAATGGAGACTGTCCAGCTGGGACCAGCCCACAAGCGTGGTGGGGATTAGCTGTGGAGCCCTGGCTGCAGAGGCTGACCAGGTAGCGTGACAAGACCTGGGCTCTGGGCTCAGCTGTGGGCTGGGGAGGGCGCTCACAGGTGGCATGCCATTGTCAGGGTACCTGCCTGCCCAGGAGCCTCTCCCTTGATCATAGGATCCAACTGGCCAGGGAGGTTCAGAAAGAATACACTGGGATCACTGCACCACAGGGCAGGGAGGGAGACAATATCCCACCGGCCCCTGCAGAGGCTGCCTACCCTGCCCTCCACGGCCTTACCTCCTGCTGCTCCTTCAGCTGCTTCTTCTGAGCGTCTGACAGCTCTGTGACACCCACCAGACCCACAGGCTTCCCCTTCTCGTAGCCGAGGCCCTTGAGGTCCTGAACTAGAAACAAGACATAGGCTGGTCAACAACAGACATTGGACTAGCCTCGCACCTGCACGCGAGGCAGAGTCCACGTGTTGATGACACCTGAGGCACCTGGTGCATGAGGCAAGGCCTTTAAGTTGGAACAGGTGGTAATGCATGTCACTTGATGACCTAGGGGCGCCCCTTGCTCCGCTCTATTTGTGTACTTAGTTTCATCCCCACACAACCTCTCCGGGTAGGCTCTAAGACTCCATGCTGGGGTTGCTGACACCAGAACTTGAGAGGTCTGGAGCCTCAGTAAAGGTCACACGGCTGATGGGTGACATGGTAGGGAATTTGGAAAGTCCAAGACATGAGAGAAGAGGTTTGTGTGTGCATGTGCGTGCATGTGCACGCGCGCACACTGACTCTTGGAAGTTAAGTCCTGTGGTGAGCACAGCTGGTGTAGGCACAGGTTTGGCAAGACTCAGCTGTGTGGCTCTGTTAGCTCCTTCCGGGGAGGCAGCCAACCATCTTTAAAGCAACTGATGTTTAATTTGGCATCAGCTTCTGAGCTTGGTTGGAGACAACTAATTCACATGAAGATGCTGCAATAGCCCCATCTGGGTGGTGGAAACAACCATCCCTCAGGTGGTGGCTTCCTGAGGAAGAAGCCAGGCAGAACAGGGTGCAGAGGTCCCTCTGGGAGGATGGAAAGAGCCAGATCCTCCCAGCTCACCAGGGCTTGGGCTTCAACTGTGAGAACCACTCACAGGTGCTCCTGGAACCCTATGATTGTGCCTCAACCCCTCCTCGGGCTGTGGGGGCTCTGAAGGATGTTGGGCAGCCCCATGGACAGAACAAGGGAGCCAAGGTCTGAGCAGCTTGCTGTGTGCCTGGAGCATGTCCACAGTGCCTTTCCTCCACGGGCCACTCCCCCAGCGAGCAGGCAGGCGGGGGCTGCCCATGCCCCCTGGGGTGATGTGGGCCAGTGGTACCTGAACCTGAGACTACTGAGTCTGTACCTGTCCCCCACATGATGAAGAACACATCTTCACTGGCGGGGAGCTGGGACTGGACCTCGGGGACATGATCTCAGAGCTAGGGAGTGTATGCATCAGAGCAGCACTCACACCAGAGCACCCTCCTTTGCAGCGGGTACCAGCTTCGGCACTTGAGTGGCAATCTGACCCTAGGTGCCCTCAACCCTGGGGAGAGGTGCTACCTAGAGCCCCAGTGAGTACTCAGCTCTTCTGTCAGTAGCTTTTCTCTTTGGGCCAGGGAGGCACTGAGCAAGAGACCGCTCTCAGAACTGGGCACGCAGGGCCAACAGGCCAGCCCTGTGACCTGGGTGAGCTGCCTTCTCTCTCGGCCTACCCTTGTACAGCCGATATAGGCATTGGCACCAGGGTGCACATGACTCCTCTATGTGCCTCTGTGGCCAGTTCCAGGCAAGTTGCAGGTGAGGGAGGTTGAGAGGGTTCTGCCCATGGTGCAGGCTGCACAGTGGGGTAGTCAGACAGATGGCATGAAACGGCCAATTATTAGTCACCAATATCATTGGCAAAATGTGATGACAACAGACACCCACCCTTGTGGGTTTGTGACAGAAAACGAGAAATGAAGCCACACAATGGCTGGGCCTGAGATTGTTGTCAAGGAGTAAGAAGTTGGAGATAACTGCAAAAATGACTGTAGCAATTATTGTGCTTGTCACTGTTCATTTCGTGAGTTTTCTGTGATAAGAATGAATCTAAGTACTTTAAAGCTTAAGAGAAAACAGGATTATCTATATGTTGCCTATAAGAGACTTTAGACACAAAGACACAAATAGATTGAAAGGATGAAAAAAGGTTATTTCATGCAAATAGTAACCAAGATAGAGCTGGGCTGGCCATACTAGTATCAGACAAAATAGACTTTAAATCAAAAAAGGTTATAAGAGACAAAGAAAGATGTTATGTATTTACAAAAGATTTGATACAGAAAGAAGACATAACAATTAAATAAATATACACAGGAGAACTACAAAACACTAACTAAGGAAATGAAAGATGATTTAAAGAAATGGAAAGATATTCCACGTTTTTGGATTGGAAGAATTAATACTGTTAAAACGGCCACACTACCCAAAGCAATCTACAGATTTAATGCAATCTCTATCCAATTACCCAGGACATTTTTCACAGAACTAGAATCCTAAGATTTATATGGAATCACAAAAGATCCAGAATTACCAAAACAACACTGAAGGAAAAGAATGAAGCTGGAGGAATAACCCTCCCAGACTTCAGACAATACTACAGAACTACAGTAATCAAAAAAAGCATGGTATTGGTACAAAAAACAGACATATGGATCAATGGAACAGAATAGAGAGCCTAGGAATAAATCCACAGACTTCTGGTCAATTAATCTGTAACAAAGGAGGCAAGAATATAAATATACAATGGAGTAGAGTCTCTTCAGCAAATGGTGTTGGGAGAACTGGACAGCTGCACATCAATAAAGTTAGAACAATCTCTCACACCATACACAAAAATAAACTCAAAATGGCTTAAAGATTTAAACTTAAGACAAGACACTATAGACCTGTTAGAAGAAAACACAGGCAAAACATTCTCTGACATAAATTTCAGCAATGTTCTCCCAGGGCAATCTACCCAGGAATAGAAATAAAAGCAAAAATAAACAAATGGGACCTAATTAACCTTATAAGCTTTTGCGAAGCCAGAGCAAAACAAAAAGACAACCTATGGAATGGGAAAAAATATTTGCAAAAGATGAGACTGACAAGGACTTAATTTCCAGAATATATAAACAGCTCATACAACTTAATAATAAAAAAAGCAAACCACCCAATCCAAAAATGGGCAGAAGACCTAAATAAGCAATTCTCCAATGAAGACATACAAATGGCCAATAGGCACTTAAAAAAATGCTCAATATCACTAATTATCAGAGAAACGCAAATCAAAACTACAGTGAGGTATCACCTCACACCAGTCAGAATGGCCATCATTCAAAAGTCCACAAACAATAAATGCTGGAGAGGGTGTGGAGAAAAGGGCACCTTCCTACACTGTTGGTGGGAATGTAGTTTGGTGTAGCCATTATGGAAAACAGCATGGAGATTCCTCAAAAAACTAAAGACAGACTTACCATATGATCCAGCAATCCCGCTCCTGGGCAAATATCCAGAGGGAACTTTAATTTGAAAAGATACATGCACCCCAATGCTCACAGCATCACTATTTACAATAGCCAAGACATGGAAACAACCTAAATGTCTATCGACAGATGAGTGGATAAAGAAGTTGTGGTATATTTGTACAATGGGATACTACTCAGCCATTTGCAGCAACATGGACAGACCTGGAGATTATCATTCTAAATGAAGTAAGCCAGAAAGAGAAAGAAAATACCATATATCACTTACATGTGGAATCTAAAAAAAAAAGACATGAAGTTATTTACAAAACAGACACAGACTCAAGACACAGAAAACAAACTTATGGTTACCAGAGGAGAAGTGGGTAGGAAGACATAAACTGGGAGTTCGAGATCTGCAGATACTGACTGGTATATATAAAAATAGATAAATAACAAATTTATACTGTATAGCACAAGGAACTACATTCAATAGCTTGTAGTAATGTATAATGAAAAAGAATATAAAAACGAATATATGTATGGATATATATGACTGAACTACTATGCTGTACACCAGAAATTGACACAACACTGTAAACTGACTATACTTCAATTTTTAAAAATTTATAAATAAATATATACATACATACACACACACACCTAACAACACAGGCCCAAGATACATGATAAAAATTGACAAAACTGAAGGAAGAAATAATATAGTAACTGTTGGAAATTTCAATATCCCATTTTAAATAATGGACAGAACATATGAACAGAAGATCAATAAGGATATAGAGGACTGAACAACACTATGAACCAACCAGACCTAACAGACACCTATTGAACAAGAAATCCAACAGCAGAATATAGTCCCCTCAAGTGCACATGGAACATTCTCCAGAACAGATCATAGGTTTGGCTATAAAACAAGTTTTAATAAATTTTAAAAGACTGAAATCATACCAAGTATGATTTCTTTTCTGATCACAATGGAATGAAACTAGAAATCAGTAACAGAAGGAAAACTGGAAAACTCAAAAATCTAGAAATTAAATAACACACTCTTAATCAATGGGTCAAAGAGGAAATCACAAGAGATCAGAAAATGCTTAGAGATGAATAAACACAAAAGCATAACACACATCAAAACTTATTGGATGCAGCAAAAGCAATGTCAAGTGGGAAATTTATAGCTGTAGATGCTCACATTAAAAAGAAGATAAATTTGACTCGATAAAAAAAAAATGTTAAAAAAAAAAAAAAAAGATAGACCTGGGGGCGGGGGTAGGTGGGAAGAGGGTATAGCTCAGTGGCAGAATGTGTGTTTAGAATGGGTTCAATCCCCAGTACTTCTATTAAAAACAAATAAATAAAGCTAATTACACCCCAAAACAAAACAACAAAAAAGGAAGATAGATAACCTAACTGTACATCTTAAGAAACCAGCAAAAGTAGAGCAAACTAATTCCAGAACCAGCAAAAGGAAGGAATAAAGATTAGACGGAGAAAAATGAAACAGGAAATAGAAATACAAGAGAGAAAAATCAATGAAACCAAAAGCTTTTTAAAAAGATCAACAAAATGGACAAATCTTTAGATAGACTGCCTAAGCAAAAAAGAAGACTCAACTACTAAAACAAAAAGTAAAAATGGGGCATACAGTAGTTCCACTTTATCTGCAGGGGATACATTCCAAGATCCCCTAATGGATGCCTGAAACCACAGATAATACTGAACCCTGTGTGTACTATATATATACATACCTATGATAAAATTTGATTTATAAATTAGACACAGTAAACTCAATAAAAAAAAGTTTAAAAAAATTAGGCACAGCAAGAAATCAACAACAATAGCTAATAATAAAATGTAACAGTTATAGTAAAAATTATGTGAATGTAGTTTCTCCCTAACAATATTTTACTGTACAAATGTAATGCCTTTTCCATCTTAACTAAACCCTTAGCACACACTGTGGCCGTAACTTTTGCAGTTTGAGGTATAACAGCAAAACTAGCATGAATTTCCTTTTCCTTCTTCACAATTTCATGGATAGATGATTTCTTCTTACTGTAGATCTTGGTAACCTCAGCTTATTAGGTCTTGGCCACCTCAGCTAATTAACTCAAGAATTTTCACCTTTTTACTTAAAGGAAGCAATTTATGGCTTCTCTTTGGCATGTTCAAGTTGCCAGCATCACTATTCATGTGCTTTGAGGCCATTATTAAGTAAAATAAGGGTTTTGTGAAGATAAGCACTGCAATACCATGACAGTCAATCTGATATCTGAGTGACTAGGAATGACTAACAGGTGGGATATCCTGGGCAAAGGGATGATTCATGTCCCAGGTGGGGTGGAGCGGATGGCACAAGATTTCATCACGCTACTCAGAATGGCTCTCAAAACGATTTACATTTTAACTATATTATTATATTATTTATTCCTGGAATTTTGCATTTAATATTTTTGGACCATGGTTGACAGTGGGTAACTGAAACCACAGAAAGCAAAAGCACAGATAAAGGGGGACTAGTGTGTTACTAATGACTCAACAAAAATAAAAGGCTTATGAGAGAATACAATAAGCAACTGTACACCAACAAACTGGATAACCTAGACAAAGTGGACAAATTCCTAGAATGGAACAACTACCAAAACTAACTCAAGAAGTACAGAAAAATATGAATAGATTTATAACAAGTAAGGAAACTGAATCAATAATCAAAACCTCCCCCCAACAAAGAAAAGCCCAGAACTAAATAGGATCACTGGTAAATTCTACCCAAGATTTAAAAGAATAAGAATTAACACCAATTATTCTCAAATTCTTCCAAAAAAATTAAAGAAGGGAACATTTCCTAACTCATTTTATGAGGTCAGCATTACCCTGATACCAAAGGCAGACAAAGACAACATAAGACAATTACAGACCCATAATCCTTATGAGTATAGACGCAGGAATCTGTACAAAAATACTAGCAAACCAAGTCCATCAGTATATTAAAATAATTATTTATTCCAGGAATGCAAGGGTGGTTCATCATACAAAAAATCAATGTAATACTCCACGTTAATACAGTGAAAGAAAAAACCACATGATCATTTCAGTTGATGCACAAAAAGTCATTGACAAAATCTAACAGTCTAATGATAAAAACACTCAATATACTAGGCACAGAAGCGAACTTCTTCAATAAGACAAAGGCCATGTATTAAAAACACAGCAAAAGTCATACTTAATTGTGAAAGACCAAAAGCTTCCCCCTTAAGATCAGGAACAAGGCAAGGAGAGATGCCTGCTTTTGCCACTTCTATTCAACATAGCACTACAGAGCAATTAGGAAAGAAAAAGAAAGGAGAGACATCCGAACTGGAAAGCAAAGAGTAAAACTATTCTTATTGCAGATGACATGATCTTATAGGTAGAAAACCCTAAAGACTGTTACGCTAATAAATAAATTCAACAAAGGTATAAGATACATAACTAACACACAAAAAAATCAGTTGTATTTCCATACACCCAAACCAAATAATCCAAAAAGGAAATAAAAACAATTCCATTTGCAATAGCATCAAAAATAAATCACTTAGGAATAAATTTAAATAGCAATACAAGACTTGTACGGTGAAAATACAAAAACATGTTGAAATAAATTAAAGAAAACCTAAGTAAATGGAAAAACAGCCCATGTTCTCAGAGTGGAAAACTCAAATATTGTTAACATGTCAATACCACCCAAACAACCTACAGATTTAATGCAATCACTATCAAAATCCCAACAATGTTTTCTGCAGAAATGGAAAAGCCCATCTGAAAATTTATATGAAAATTCAAGGGACCTGAAAGAGCCAAAGCCTGAAAAAGAAGAACAAGTTTGGAAGGCTGACACTCCCAAATTCAAATTTTACCAGAAAGCTACAGTAATCAAAACTGTGCTATTGGCATAAGAAGAGACATATAATCCAATGTAATAGAATAGAGAGCCCAGAAATAAACCTTTACATCTATGGGATTTTTGACAAGGGCGTCAAGGCCATTCAATGGGGAAAGAACAACAGCTTCTCAACAAATGGTGCTGGGAAAATTGGATCTCCACAAGCAAAAGGATGAAGTTAAACTCTAACCTTTTATCATATGTAACAATTAACCCCAAATGGATGAAAGACCTAAAACTATAAAACTCTTAGAAGAAAATATAGGGGGAAATCTTCAAGACTCTGTATTTGGCTGGGGTTTCTTAAATATGATACCAGAACCACAGGCAACAAAAGAAAAAATAAATTGAACTTCATTAAAATTGAAAACTTTTGTGTATTAAAGGACATTAAGAGGGTGAAAACACAGCAGATAAAATTAGGGAAAATATTTGCAAATCACTTATCTGAATGGGGTTAACGTCCAGAACATATAAAGAACCACTACAATTCAACAACAAAAAGATAAACAGCCCAATTGAAAAATGGGCAAAATAGACATTTCTCCAAATAAAGTATACAAATGACCAAAAAACACATGAAAGGATGCTCAACACCATTAGTCACTAGAGAAATGCAAATCAAAACTACAATGTGATTTCACTTTACACTTACTAGGATAGCTACAATAATAAGGCGAGAGTGTGGAAAAATTGGAACCCTTGTGCATTGCTGGTCAGAACGTAAATGGTGCAGCTGCTGTAAAAAACAGTTCGGTGATTCCTCAGACTTACCACGTGACCCAGGAATGCCACTCATAGGTATACACAAAAAAGAATCAAAATTAGGGATCCAAATAGTACTTGTAGGCCAATGTTCACAGCAGCAATACTGGCAATTGCCAAATGGTAAAAACTCAAGCTTTAACAACTGATGAAAGGATAAACAAAGTGTTGTCTATCCATATACTGGAATATTATTTGGTCATAGAAATGAATGAAATTCTGACGTGTGCTACAACACAGATGAATCTTGAAAACATTACGTGAAGTGAAAGATGCTAGGCCCTTTCAATAGGCTGGGGGAGGGGGTCGGCCCACCTGACAGAGGCGAGGGAGAGGCATCCACATCCCTCTGCACCAGCTCGGCGGGTGGAAGCTCCACCTTGTCTTCTTCAGGCCCCCACCGGCTCTTTCGTTTCCTCTTCATAGTGGCTGTGGTGGCGAGCTTCCCTGGGGCAGCTGGAGACGGGCTGACGGCGGGCAAGGGGGCAGATGAGGTGGGGCATGTAGTGGCAGTGGGCATGGACCCCAATGGAGTCTCAGGAGGAGATCTGCGCTTCAGGCAAAGGTCAGGTGCTGTGGGGGTGCCTGTGGGACCAGCCTTGGCTTTCCGGAACTCCTCAAGCTTCTGGCGGTAGTACTTGTACCCTTGGCTGTTGGGTTCATACAGAAAGCTGCAAAGGAGAGTGGGAGGAACACCATCTTTGAGCCTCAGTCCCCTACCCCTGATTTAGGGCAGGAGAAGTGTGGGCCTTGCATAGGCACACTCAGGTCGGCCAGGGTCACTTCAGGATCATGTCAAGATGGAGGTCTCTATCATGATCTCCTTCCCTGCCTAGCCTCAGTGGGTACCGGCTCTGGTGGCCCTAACTTATCGAACAGTGTGACATGCCCACAGACTGTCATGATGCTGTTCCTGTGAGCTGTGAGCCACTCCAAACCCCCATTCCATCTTTACTGTATGCCTGTTAAACTATCACTGATCCTGTGCTTTGAAGGAAATGGTGTGGGCTCTCTCAGACCTTCCCAAGGCTCTGCAGGGATTTTTCCCCTGCTGCCCTAGACGAGGGCACCAGTGCCCACAAACCAAGAAATCCTTAATCGCCAGAGACACCTGGTGCCAGGAAGGGCAGGATTTGTCCCAAACCTAACAGCTGGGCACACTTGTGCTCCTTTCTGAAGCATCCTTAAGAGGCATCAGGAGTGAACAGAGCCAAAACAAAGACACTGAACACTGGAATGAACAGGGAACTCACTGCCAGCCTCGCTGGAAGCTGTGGGTTCCCAAATGCAGAGCAAGTGGTGCTGGGTTCAGAGCTGGCAGAGGCTGTAGCTCCCTCTGCACCTGCCCAGCATCTCTTAGACTATGCACATACTGAGCCAACAGTCCCAACTCTGGGGTCCACACCAGAGAGAAGAGTCACAGCCCAGTTCCATATAGCAAAATCTATACACAGCACAGATTACACAGCCCTTGACAAGAAGAGGCTACACCTGTACTCGTGAACCTGGAGGGACAGTCATGGTACAATGCTGTACTACAAAAGTAACATGCAGGCTCAAGGATGATGTAAATTCCTTCTATATAAGAGAAAGTTAGCAGAAAAAACCCACAGACTATTTCTACATGAGAGCTGGGAAAGGGATGGAAGAACTCCTAGGTCTGTTAATAACATCAATACCTAGAGTGGGATGGAGGGATGGGGAGACTGGCCTCTATGCCACAAATCTGATAACCTAGATGAAATGAACCAATTCTTTGAAAGATACAATCTGCCAGAACTCACACAAGAAGAAACAGACAATCTAAACAGGCCTATTTCTATTAAAGAAATTGAATCAATAATTAATAATCTTCCAAAAGTTCACTGGTGAATTCTACCCAACATTTAAAGAAAAAGATCACACCAATTCTGTACAACCTCTTTCAGAGGACAGAAGCAGAGAGAACATTCCTAACTCACTCAATTACCCTAATACTAAAACCAGACAGAAACATTACAAGGAAAGAAAACTACAGACCAACATCCCTCGTGAACAGAGATATAAAAATCCTCAACGAAACATTAGCAAACTTAATCCACCAATGTATAAAGAGTTCTACACCACAACCAAATGGGCTTAATTTCAAGCACACAATGCTGCTTCAACATTTGAAAATCAAGTAATGTAATCTGGTGGGGGAGGGTGCAGCCTGGTGGTGGAGTGCATGCTTAGCATGCACAAGGTCCTGGGTTCAGTTCCCAATATCTCCATTTAAGAAAATAAATAAATATCCTAATGGCCTCCCCCCATCAAAAGAAGGGGAAAAAAAGTAGTGTAATCCATCGCATTAATAGGCTAAAGAAGAAAAATCACATGATCATATCAATCGCTGCAGAAAAAGCATTTAACAAAATCTAATATCCATTCACAAGAAAACTCTCAGTAAACTAGGAACATAAGGGAACTTCCTCCACTTGATAAAGAATATCTATAAAAAAACCTATATCTTACATCATACTTACATAAGAAACTTGAAGCTTTCCCACTGAAAACAGAAACCAGGCAAGAATATCCCACCCCTCCAATGCTTTTCATCATACTGGAAGTTCTAGCTAATGCAGTAAGATGAGAAAAGGAAACAGAAGATGTACTGATTGAGAAGGAAGAAATATGACATGATCATCTACATAGGAAAAAAAACAGATCAAAGACCAGAAAACCCATCCTGGAATTAACAAGCTATTATAGAAAGGTTGCAGGATACAAGATTAATATACAGAAGTCAATCACATTCCTACACACCAGCAATGAACACGTAGAATTTGAAATTAAAAACATTTACACTAGCATTTCCCAAAATGAACTACTTAGATATAAGTCTAACAAAATATGTATAAGATCTATATGAGGAAAACTAAAAAACTCTGATGAACAAATTCAAAGAACTAAATAAATGAAGAGATTACATGTTCATGGATAGGAAGACTCACCACTGTCAAGATGTCAGTTATTTCCAACTTGATTTCTAGATTCAGTGCAATTCCAGTCAAAATCCCAGCAAGTCATTTTGCAAATATTGACAATCTGATTCTAAAGTTTATACAGAGAGACAAAAGCCCTACAACAGTCAACACAATATGGAAAAAGAACAAAGTTGGAGAACTGACACTATCACACTTCAGGGCTTACTGGTTAAGAAATGTTCTCTCTGCTTGATACTAGTCACTCTGGAAGACAGTTAACCAGTTTCTTACAAAACTAAATGTATCATACGATCCAGCAATCACACTTCTTGGTATAAGAGTTGAAAATTTATGTCCACACAAAAATCCTGTACACAGATGTTTACAGCAACTTTATTCATAATTGCCAAATCTTGGAAGCAACCAAGATGCCATGCAGGAGATGAATGGATAAATAAACTGTGGTACATCTAGACAATGGAAAATCATTCAGTCTAAAAAGAAATGAGCTATCAAGCAAAACAAACAAACAAACAAAAAACACACACAAAAAAAACAAAACAAAAAAACCAAAAAAACCCCAACAACTTTGGAGCAACCTTAAATTAAATGCATATTACTAAGTGAAAGAAGCCAATCCAAAAAGGCAACATACTATGACTCCAATTATATGACATTCTGGAAAAGGCAAAACTACGGAGTCAGAAAAAAAAATCAGCGGTTGCCTGGGGTTAAGGAAGAAAAAGAGATGAATAGGCAGAACACGGGGAATTTTAGGGCACTGAGAATACTCCGTATGACACCACAACGATGGATATATGTCACTACACATTTGTCCAAATCCATAGAATATACAGCAGGAAAAGTGAACCCTAACATAAACTATAGACTTTGGGTGATTATGATGTGTCAATACAGGTTCATCAACTGTAACAAGTATACTACTCTAGCGGGAGATGTTGATAACGGGGGAGGCTGTGCATGTGTTGGGGCAGGGGGCACACGCGAAGTCTCTGCACCTTCCACTCAATTTTGCTGTGAAGCTAAAACTGCTCTGAAAAATAACATCTTAAAAAAAGTTAAGAGACAAAAGCAAGAAATCATTCAAACAGGGAAGCGAGCAGATGGCTGGATTTAAAAAAGACTCATGGCAACCAGAGCATGGATTCAAAGCTATCCGGTTCCTCCAAGCAAAGAAGACTGGGGGATTCGCCCACTGGGGCAGGTGGGCAGCTCCTGACGGTGTGGGTCTCCTCTCAGCTCACAGGCTTCTTCCTGGCCTCAGCTGCCTATTCACACTGAATCTCCTCCAACCTGCCCTGAGAGCTATGCCTGTCTGTGAGGGGAGTAACAGCTCACTGTGGGCCCCGGGCACAGGTGCAAAGACCCCCTCTAGTAGGAGTGATCCCACCCTCAGGGTTAACCAAAGTTAACACTTTGGTGTCTTTCCTTCCAGACTTTTTTCCAGTGTGGATTTATATGAACAGAGCCATGATTCTATTTTCCACACCCTGATTTTTAAAAAATTTCTTAACTTGACAACATAAGGCTTTCCTTTCCCATTAGAATGCAACATAGCATGGTAGTGAAGGCACCTCCACTGACTGGCCTCCTTGCCTCGGATTCCTCACCTGTAAGAGGCCAGCATGCCAGGCTGTTGTACAGAACAACGTGGTTCACCCGGGTGATGTTAGAGCCACATGTGACTTGAGGTGTGCTGGCTGCTATCACCTTCTCCAACTTGCCTTCTGATGGCCACAATTCCACTGGGGAGATGCAGTTATAGGAGTTTAGCCCACTGGGGCTGGATATTGAACGTGTTAACTAATTTTTCGTAACTATGACAGTGCTACGTATAACATTATTTCTGGGGATGGCATCTCTGAAGTGGGATGACTGGTCAAAGGAATAGGTATTTCCAGCTTCTTTACGGACACGTATAGCTGTTAACCATTGTTTTTCAAAACACAGAGCTGCTGGGGAATCAAGAGGGCAGGAAAGGACCAACAGTGGCAGGAACTTGAGGTGGCTATTAGATCTGGGGGTGCCAGAGGAGCTGCCTTGCACCTGACCCTTTGTGGAGATGTAACAGTCTGCTTGGTATGAACCTACATGGCTTGCACAGGCCTGGACACCTGATCTTACCTCATTTACTCTTCCCCAATGCAGAGTACTGACTGTGGTTCAGCTCTGACATGGAAATGAGCTCGCCCAAAGCAAGCTGGTCAACCTCAGCTGCTTCTCCGCCAGGCACCCTCAGGGTCTGTCCTTACTCCTGGCTGTCACCACCCAGCATCCATCAAGGCCACACTCAACAAGCCAATGCCTGCCAGCCATGTCCCACAAAAGGTACCATGGAGGGCCTAGAGCCACTTGTGGTAACATCTCTTCGCTTTGACCCCAGGGGAAAGGCTCAGCTGGAGCTGCTCAGCCCTGGGGCCCCTCTGACCAGGAAGAGCCACCTGGGCTCTGGGCCTTGTACAGAATTCCATTACCTCACCCACTCTGCCTATAATAGATTTTTAATCAGCTCTTCTCATGATGAGTGACAGTACACTACATTCCCCATTTAAATAAACTTATGTAAATGAAAAAAAAAGTAAGATGTGAATTAAAGTAGAATGTTAAGTAAACACTGGTTTGGGTAGAGCAGAGTGGTGGCTGGTATCACTATGTTGTGGAGATCCCAGGTCTCCTGAACTCTAGACCCAAACCCCACAGCCCCCACAAAAGCTCCTAGCTGGCCATGTTCTATACACAGGTACACCTGAACCCTTCAGCCACCACCTGATGATGCCCTCATCTGCCTCAACCTGGTGTGTCTGACCACCCTTCGCAGCTGTGGCCAGATGACCCTGGAAGCACAGCTGACCCCATCACTCCCTATGCAGACCCTCCAAAGGTTCTCAGTGAACATTTGAGCCCTCTGGGACTCAGCCCTGCCTGGCTTCATGGCCCGTCTTCACCATGCCAACACTCACCCTGAATCCCCACCATGGTGGCACAACGCCCCCATCTCTGTTGCCTCACTTCTGCAAGGCAGTCCCTCCAAACGCCCTTCACTTTGTCCCACGTCTAGCTCATGCTAGCTCGCATGTAGTAGATGCGACTGGCCGCCTGCCCAGCATCCACTCCTGCTTCCTTCTTCCTGAGTCCCTGATGGTGTCTAGAGCTGCTGAATCAACCAGCCCAGATGGCTGCTGCTCTGGCACTTTTTGTTACAAGCACCATCACATCTCCTCACTGACTCACTGGGGACTTGTGTTACTTGTGGCCAAAAGTGTCCTTATGGGTGCATCACCCTCACAGCGGGTTCAGTGTCCACCTCACAAACCTCTTCGAGTCCCTGCCCTGCAGCAGCGATTGCCTCACCCCCACCTCCGCACCGTCCCCATCAGCCTTCCCCTGCAAAGAGCAGGTTCTGAACCCACCCAATAAATGGAAGAGCGGGTGAGCACAGACCCAGTCTGAGGGGCTGGGGTGTGACTCCATGGCTGGGAACAGCAGGGATGCCAGGTGGCTTGTCCTACCCCCTCTGTGGAAAGTACACACAGGCTGGGGGTTGCCCCTCCCCAGAGTCTGAGGTACCACATTCCCCGTTATCATAAAGATGAGACCCCAAAAATGTACACAGTGAACAATTCCGTGAGTTTCTGTTTGAAAGCTTGGCCTGCCCCCAGCCTGGAGCTGCTGTTTCTGGTATAAAGGGAGCAAGGCAAGTGCTAGAGACGTTCTCTGTGAGGCACAAGGCCCCAAAGGTCCCCACACAGCCATCTCAAGAGCCGATTCAGGGCACCAATGTGCACTCAGGGAATGCTACGGGGTGGCAGGCCTAAAACCCTGTGGTCAGAACCTCTTGGACCTGAGTCCTGGCCCTGCCAACTTCTTGCCATGGGACCCTAGCACATCTCAACACCACACCAAGCCCATTTTCTCAGCAGGGGAGCTCTGACTAGGGTGAGGGATCACCTCCCCAACAGGTCCCCCATCCTTACCTGAATGCCTGGTTCTCGCGGTTGTTCTGGAGGGCAATGGTTTCCACCTCGGGACCCCCATCTGCTATGAACCTGGCCAACTTTTCTGCGAGGTTCTTGACCTCTTCGTCCTCTGGGGGTGAAACTTTAAGCAGGCTGTCAGTACTGAGCTCAACTCACCACACCCAACAGCCTAATTTCTGCTAAGAACCCCACAGGCAACAAGAGGGGTTTATTTTAGGAACAATACAAAGAAAAACAGGCAAATGGGAATCAGATTACTGTACTGGAACCAAATACCATAGTTAACATAATAATATATCTTAAGCCTCCGCCCCACCACATCCCGACCCTTCCCACCCCACAGGTCTGCAGGCTTTGGGCACACACTAGGACATGGGAACAGAATGTGAGGGAAAGTCTGGGTCCAGGCTGGAGAGGGGATGGGAACCCCAACATCGGTCTTTCTGCTGGGAGCTGCAGCCCCAGGTCACATGGTAGGGGTGGGCCTGGCCCTCCTCTCTTGAGGAGAAGATCAGGGCAAGGGACTGCAAGTGACAGACACAATGAACCATCTGTGTCCCACATTTAGCTTAAACATCAATACCCCTGCTGCCCACCAGCATCTGGCTGTGATTTCACTTCATTACACCTGGAAACCAGCTGGCATCTCCCCCTCCCCTGACACATCCCACCAGGCTCTCACCAGCTGACCGTTTCTGTCCCCTGGCCCCTCTTCACAGTGTTAGGCACTGCTTGTCTCTAAGTGTCCTCAGTGCTCAGCATGCAGCAGGTGCTCAATAGCACTTGTGAAAGTGACCATGAACCAACAAGAGGCAAGTGTACCTCCCCTATGCCCCCTTTACATGCACAGGGCTGAGCTCCTGGACATGATTCTGACCTTCACCTTGACCCTTAGATTTCCTTACCCTCAGAGTACCAGCAGAGAGCACAGAGCCAGCCCCAGCATGACCCCAGCTGCCTGGGAGGGCACAGACCTGTGCTGTTGATGCCACCCTATGCCACAGCAGACTCCAGGAAAGGAACCCCCATTCCACATGGGGTGTGGTTTGTCCACACGCCTCCCTAGAACCTCCCACCCCCTTCAACCACCTACCTTTCTGAGAGGCTGTCTGCAACTTCTGTGCTTCCTTTCTTATCTCAGCCACCTTCTTTCTGTAGTAGAGGAATTCCCTGCTATTCTTATCGTGCAAAAACCTGGAAAGGAATTGGGCAAAACAGAGAGTGGAAGATGAGCGACGGGGATGGGCAGACCCATGAAGCTTCTGAAGACACGTTGTGCAAAAGCAAGCTGGCGAGCACAGACACCTTGATGGGGCCCAAAAGTAAGTCTCCACGCCATACTGGAGCCCCTTGCAACCTCCAGTGTGAGTTAGAAAGCGCTCAAACAGTGTCTGGTTTGTGCAAGTAAGCACCCAGCCCCGGCCAGCCTGTCACCACTACGGCTTTACAAGAACGTCTGCATGTACTAACGTGTGACAAGAACAAGAAGTAGCAGTGGCCTTCCCCTCCCAGAAATACTTACGAAAACGCCGGGTTATCCTTGTAGTTCTCCATAGCTACTTTTTCTAACTCGGGGCCTCCTTCTGCCACAAAGCGGGCCAATTTCTCTATCACTTTCCGAGTCTCGGCTCCCTCTGGGGGTGAAACTTTAAGGAGGCTGTCAGTACTGGGGTTCAACTCACACACCCCACAGTCAACAGGCACACTCTCTCTACGGACCACAAGGACAGAGGGGTGGGGGGAGAAGAGGGTGAAATGCGGGAGGTTGTCGGGCGTCCCAGGTCCATGCACAAAGCACCATGATGAGGGGTGAGTCGGTCTAGACAGTCTGCGAGACACGCTGAGGGGAGAAAAGTGTGTAAGCCTCCCAAAGGCCAAGTCAATCCCCAGGCTGGGAGAGAGACGACAAAAAACACAGCCAGCCTCCCCTTCCTTTTTTGGAATGGTCAATTTTTTTTAAACCAGTGTTCAGTATAATAAATCACTCCACTGTTATCCTTCAAAAATGACAAGTTCTTTTTTAAAAATATCATTACAAAGTCAGAAGCCCATCAGTGGGCTTCACAATGTCATCACAAAAGCTCAGTCAGCCCCTCTATGGCCAGGGGGCCTATTCAAGCTGGCTCCTGAGGCCTTTGGCCATGACCCCAGGTGTCTCTAATGGCCTCCTCACTATCTGCTGGGACAGGGTGCTTCAAGATCATCTCAGACACTTCCTGCCCAGACCTAGAGGCAGCCATTTCTCCAAGAAGCCCTGGTTTCCGTGGTTTCCGGGCACCAGGGATGCTCACTGCAACAGGCTTAATCACTACTTTACAAAATCTTCAGTGAACAAAGCTATAAAAATATATTTTTGTAGTTGTATTAGCCTCCGTTTTGAGCCACACGGAACTTGATTTTGTATTTATTACTGGCCTGTTTCTGAGGCTATCTGTCAGCCACCATACAGCTCATGTCCCTTGTATGAGAACTCCCAGGAGAAGTTTCTTGATGTCAGTCAGTCCTTAGGAACATTTGTTCCTCTTGACAACGGGGCTAGACACTAAGCCTGTGGCCAATTTTATTCCCCCTGTTGCTTGTGCTGCCAGAAAGCTCAGGGGTGAGGTGGGGTGATGGTACGATGTGTGGCCTAAGTGGTCCTAGAGACATTCTGTGCCCAACTTACCCCTTAGCCTCACTTCCTCCCACATGCCTGGCAATGACCCTGACCTGGTCACTCTACAAGCACATGTGCTTTTTTGAGGTCACATCAATCGCAATCCATAATAGGCCTCAAGGGTCTTGAGAGACACCCACTGCCCTTTGTAAGGCGGCAGTTCCCAGCAGGGTACTGTTGGAACTGCCTGAGCATCTCTCTGAGGGAATGCCACCCTCACTGGCTCCATTCAACTAATGCTCCAAAGTTTGAGGTTGGCCACAGAGTTGCTCAGATATATGGCCTGAAGCCAGCACCCTTATCCAGAGCAAGGGGTCTAGAGGCTTTCATGGCATAACAATGTGGTCACTTCAGTCTGTTCTCACTGTTAGAGAGATATGACTGTGCCAGCCATCCTGGAGCAGAGGTGGCCCAGTCCTCCACATAGCTTAGATGGCACTGAGGTCTTGTTCTGAATGTGGACAGGGCTGGATGCACAAGGAGTGCCTCCACTGCCACCCGCCTCTGCCCTCCACCACCATGGGGCCTGAACTAGCTCACCCAAAGCCAATGACCATCCTTCCCTGGGCAGGAGAGCACATGCTCCAACCTGCAGGCTTGTTACCTCTGGCCCAAACTGCTGGAGACAGGTTAACATTGAGGAGCTCCTCCTCTAGCACTGGATGAGGACACAAGTGAACACTGCCCTGAGATCCCACCCTCCACCAGATGGAGACCAGCCCCCATGAGTGGACAATGGTCCCACAGCTCCCAGAATGAAGCCACATTCTGCAGCCCCTCCACACTCCCCTCTCCACCCCATCCTTTACCTTCACCCTGAAGGGCTCCACCCTGACCTGTGGCTCAGCCTGGAGGCCTGGCAGCACCTCCGACCACAGCTCCAAACACGCTACGCCCCTGCTGACCAGGGATCCTGCCTGTGGAGCTGGAGGAGTGACTGTGGACAGAGGGTGGCAACCCTTGCACCTTACCTTTGATCTCCAGCCACTGCTCATAGTCCTCCTCCTCGTCCTCATCAGGAGACTGGAAGACACTTGGGCGGCTGGCCACAGGCAGCTGCTTGGCATGCACATAGTTCTTCACCTGGCCCAGAGGGCTGCTGATGAGGGGTGGCCTCTTCCCAGTGCGGGGGAGCACACGAGGTGGGGCACTAGGTGCACTGGGGGGGGCATCTGGGGATATAAGGAAGGATACCCATACTCAAAGTCTGCGGCACAGGTTTCCCCATCTTCCTGCCTAACCTGAATGCCCTAAGCCCCCGGGGCTGGGTCCTAAGCATGCAGCACAGCACCTGGCAGCCAGGGAGTGCTCAGAAGCACTCAGAGGATGCCACCCCTATTTTACAGATAAGCATGAGAGAAGCTCAGAAAAGAACAACCTGTCGTGGTCACCCAACCTGGGGAAGCCAGCCTAGGGCTCTGTATGTGGCAGCTCTGGCAGTAGGTGCCTCTGACACCTGCATCCACAGCCTATGGATGCAGCAGCTCTTCCAGGTAAGACCCAAAGCCCACATTCAGCTTACAACCATTCCCTCTGGTTGTCAGTAGTGGGTTGGAGACAGACTATTCGGGGCTTTGCTTTTCTTTTTAAAGCAAAATCTATTTATTTTATTATTAATTAATTTATTTTTTGAAGAGATAATTAGGTTTATTTATTTATTTACTGATTTTTTTTTTTTAAATGGAGATACTGGGGATTGAACCCAGGACCTTGTGCATGCTAGGCATGTACTCTACCACATTGCTATTACCCACCTCCCCGCTTCTGGGGTTTTTCAAGCAGCCTGAGACCCTGCAGTGAAGAGCTCATACAGCCCTTCTTCCCTCTCTGTGGGCAAATTTGACCTTGGGTTAATTTTCTTAGCTGTTACCTGGGAAACCTGACAAAGGTTGAAGGTCAGTTATTTCACCAACAACTTTCTTACAATAAAAATGAGACTGGTAATTGCATAACCAAAGATATGGGTGGGCTTCCCACAGGTGGTGATTATCACAGCTGGCATGTCCCATGAGGCTCCTGTCGGCCAGCTTACCACCCCCAGAACAGGATCCTGTTCCTTGCATCTGACTGTGGCTTTAAGTTAAACCACAATCTCATAACCCTGGGGCATGTTTAGTCACGGCCCCTACTACCCCGAATCAAACCCTGGCTTATTTGTCTCCACTCCTTTGGGGTAAGAACCGAGAGGACAGGGTCTGCACTCTCCTGCTGGGCATTTAGTGTGGGGACAAGCAGAATGAGGGCACCCAATGAACGAGGGATGAGAGGAACAAGTCTGAGGCAGGACCTGCCACTTCTGAGGTGCTGAGGGACCCTGGTGAAAGAGAGCCGGCAGATTGAGCTCTAGGAGGAGGTGACATGGGACAGGGGTGACTGCACTCACCTGTACTGGTCTGTGCCTTCTGTAACTTCAGAAACTGCTGCAAGAAGCTGCCGTCATTAGCAAACTTGTTGGAAACATTAGAGTTGTGTGCATTTTGAATTCTAGACCCAAGACAGAGGAAGAGAGGATAAACTTTGAGAGGAGGGGAGGGAGCACGCCTTGCCCATCTTGCCACCCTCCCCTCCGCTGTATTCTCACCTAATGGGACCCAAGACAGGCCCCTAAAGATGTCGGGAAACTGAGTGCACAAAACAGCCTTCAGAGTTGTAAGATGGAACAATCTTGTTCTAGTCAAAGCAATACTACCTATACTGATGTCGTCTCTGCCTGCATGTTGACCTCCAGGTCCGAAGGGCCTCCCCAACAAAAGGCTCAGAAGCACCTGCTCACCTTCTGCACGGCACCTGTCGTAACTTTTTTTTTTTTAAGTTATTTTCTGGGGGTGGGTGGGTGGGTATTTATTTATTTTATTTAGATACTGGGGATTGAACCCAGGACCTTGTGCATGCTAGGCACATACTCTACCATTGAGCTACACCCTCCCCTCCTCCTATTGTTAACTAATTTTCTGGGCTATCACTGTTTCCAAGTCTGTCTTTCCAACTAAATTTTAGAGCTCTCAAAAGCAGTGTCTGCACTTGTGTGTGACTGCAGTTCGGGCCTGGGTCAGCCAGTGCTTCTGTGGGTATCACATGTGCACAAGAAAACACCGACACCCATCTCTTTGTGGGAGAACTATAGGGAGATTTTATCTTTTTATTACTTTTTCTCTCTTTTCTTTTTGCAGAGTATGTTTTATTTCGAAAATAGAAAAATTCATTTTTAACAAAGCACAAGAGCAAACCCAAGTGCCTATGTTTAATTCAAATTCATTTTTCCTTATCATAAAAGTAGTAGAGGCTCATTATGAGCAAGTGGGAATGTGGGAAAACAAATATAGAAAGCAAGGAGAAAAAACAGCCCCCAAAATCTCCTCACAAGAGTCACTATTAACACTTTGGTATATTTTTTTTGATTTGACCCTTAGATTAGAAATAAGGCTGTGATTATAGTACACAGCCTACTTCTTCCATTTTCAGCTGTAATGTACCATCCTGCTCCAACCTCAGAAATTCCTCATACGTGCTGCTTTCAAGGCCACATCCATCATATAGACACACCCAGTAATTGGTAAAAGCTCAGCGAGCCCATGGGTCTGAACTTTTTCCTTTAAAACTAAGTTTCATCCTTCTAGAAATCTGTTCTAATGAAGTAAAAGTGGAAAAAAACCTAAGTAGTCAACAAGGGGCATTGGTTAAATAAATTATGGGACATCCATAGGGCAGATGGAGGGGCCCTGAGAAGTTAAAATTTTATAAATAAAGCAACCAAGCACAACATTAAATGAAAAACAAAAAGGCAAGATATAAAACAGTATCTACAGCATGGCCCTACTTATGTCAAGATATATCTGATTGAAATTACAAAAACCCATTAAAAATGTAACCAGCACTTGTCTGTGGGTTGCAGGGTTGCAACTGAGTTTAGTTTTTCCTCATTTTCTTCCCTATTTCCCAGATTTTCTACCACACATAAAAATGATCTTTAAAGCTAAAAAAAAAGTTAAAAAAAGTAGTAAAAGTTATTTTATATAAAATGAGAAGATCCGGCTGATAACCAGCCTTGGCATTAAACAAGCAGGGCCTTCTAATGACCCTGGCCCTGTTCTCATGCTGTGTGCTCCTCCCTTAGGAGGGACAGAAAGAAGGCAGGGACAAAGACAAGAAAACGCTCTAGGGCAACAGCACATCAGCAAAAGAATCCCACTTGAAAACCACTCATAACAAACGGCTGGAGGTATCACACAGCTGTTAAGGATGGCTCTTGATGAACAGATAAACAAAACACAGTCCATCCACACAATGAAATATTATTCAGCCGCAAAAAGGAAGGAAGTCCTGACACATACTATAATGAACCTTGAAAACATTATGTCCAGTGAAAGAAGCTAGACACAAAAGGCCACATGTTACACAAAATATCCAGAATTGGTAAATCCACAAAGAGAAAATAGCTTAGTGGTTGTCAGAGGCTGCGGAGGTGGGTATGGGGAGTGACTGCTCATGAGCATAAGGTTTCTTTTTGGGGTGATAAAATGTTCTGGAATTAGTGGAAACAGTTGCACAAATGCTGTGCAAATGTTGGAAATCATAAACTATGTCGTTTTAAAGATCAATTTTATAGCACATTATATCTTAGTAATAAGTAAAAGTTAAAAACTATCATAGTTCTAAAGATTTGTAATGTGGCTGGGGGAGGAGCTTTTCCTTTAAAATGTTGGGGGGGAAGCATCACATGAAACTGATCACAATTTACTAAAATAAAGCAATGACATGGGAAGGGAATATATCAAAATGTTTTTTTTTTTTTTGAGACAACTTGAATGTTTCTTATTTCTGCAAGAAATTCTAAGGTGCTCCACCCTTTTACAACAGGGAAAAACAACCTTATTTTCAAAGTTACCTATACCATGCACCCACCCACCTGATGTTCCCTTTTGACTGATTCTAGCACTGGGATGGTGCAGCCTCCAGGGGACCCTCTTGGAACCAATCCTACAGGCCTTCCCCATCTTGGTGCAAGTCCTTCATAACCCCAGGGGCGAGAACCCCCAAGCCCACCCACGGATCACTCAATATCTAGTCCCCATGTTCCTGAGAGCCTTGGAGGTGCCAGGTCCTGGTTCCAACAGGAATAGGGTCTAAGTCTCACTCTCAAGGAGAAGCCACAGACTCTTAGAAAAGGTGTGAGCTAGAACAGAGCTTTCGTACAGGATTAACATGCTCTAACTTCAGACCACGGAGAAAGGGGCTTACCTGTCAATTTCCAGCCTGAAATTCTTGGATCCTGTCACCCTGATCACACACCTCTGCTCAAAACTCTTGGATGCCCTCAGAGTTTCTCAGGAAAGTCAGGAGGAAACCTTGCCTGAGCTACCTCCCGCCTGGCTCAGAAACAGCCCCTCTGGCCTAGCAGCTCAGGCTGCTTGACATACAGGGGCTCTCCTCTCTTCCTGTCCTCTGCATCCTTTCCCTGCTTCCTCAAAGGGTTTGGGCCTTCAGAATGCAGAGCCTCTTCTGCATCTCTATGGCAGCTGCTGCATCTGGGAACACAGTGCCTCATGTTACCCACTGGCAGCTCGAGGGGTATAATTGGGTCTCATTTGCTAATAGACTGTGAGCCCCGTAAGGACAGGGATGGAATCTGGGTTTTCGCTCTGTGCTATATTCTTGGCCCCTGAACCACAACTGGTCAGTGGTAAATAACTGCTGAGTGAAATGGTTGGCAGCCATCCTCTGGGCTCCCACACACCCCTCATTTCTCTCCTGAAACACTGAGCCTCCTTAAAGAGTGCACCTGTGTCACTCCTTGCACTATCAGGCTGTGGCTGGATGCACCCTGACTGCTGTCCCAAGCAAAACCCTCTGCTGGTGATCCATTAAGACCTTAACCCAGCTTCAGGGGGGACTTACTCGCCAGGATGTGGGGGCTGAGGGCTGGCCACCTGATTTTGCTTGGCTTTCTGCTCCATTTTGGCTTCAATTTCCCGTTTCTTCTGAGCAATGAGCTCTTCTTGATGAAGGATGTTCATGTTCATTTTTCCAGACTTAGGAGGAGCAACTCCAAACCATCGGTTAGCCTTTCCTGGGGAGGGAAACAAACACATCAGAAATCACCTTTACTCCACAAACATGTCCAGCAGCTGCTATGGGAGCAACCCAGATGCTGCTGCCTGCAGCAACTGACATTCAGATTGATGTTCACATGTCTGTTCCTTCATTTATTTACCAAACATTTGCTGAGCTATGAACCAGGTGCTGTACTTGATGCTAAACAAGGCAGATGGGGTCCCTGTCTATTTGGGATTCACTTCTGGCTGGGGAGACAACAGACTTGTAACAAAAAGTAGCTGCAAAATCGTGATAAGAGCTCTCTGCTGGAAACCAAAGAAAGGTGAGAAAAAATAACAGAGGAGCACCTATACAGCTAGGGCTGTAGCCAGAAAATAACTGTTAGAAGAGGGCACCTTTAAGCTAAAATCAGAAAGGTAAAAAGCCAGTTTCCTAAAAAGCCACATGGGGAGTGATCTGGGCAAAGTAAGAACCAAATGCGAAAGCCTAAGGCTGGAAGAAGCCTGGTGCATCCAAGGACCAGAAAAGGTCCAGTGTGGCCACAGTGGATGATTCCAAGGATTGGCCGGGGAGGGCAAGATAGGGAGTCTGGGTTTAACTTAAAGGACTTTAAGAAGCAACTGGAGAGTATTAAGCTGACAAGATCCAATTGGTATTTTTATTTTTAACATCATTCAGGCTACTGATTAGACAGAGTGGACAGGCAGCAAGGAGACCAACGAGGAGCCTTACTGGCTCTAAGCAAAAGATGATAGTGTCTTCAGACAAGGGTGGTAGCTATGGAGATGAAAAAGACACCAGGAAGGTTCCTCATGGGACTCAAAATGAAATCCAAATTCTCAACGTTGATTTTCAAGGCTCTGCCAGAGATGGCTCCTCTCTCCACTTCCACTTTATCCCTGACATTCTTTAAAATGACAAGCACTCAAGGCCTTTGCACTTGCTGTCCCCCTCTGCGTGGAAGGCTCTGCCCTGCAGGCCTTCCCATAGCTGGTATCTTCTCATCTCAAATGTCTTCTGCTCAAAAAGGCTTTCCTTGACCACCCAATATCAGTAGCTTCCGCCCCTACTCTCTCACATCATTTTAACCTTCTGTAAATATTTCCTTTTTGGTGTATTGTCTGACACCCTAGTCGAAAGTAGCCTTCAGGAAGACAGGGCCCTGTTTTGGTTATCACTGCATCCTCAGAGCCTAGCACAGTGCCTAGCACACAATGAATATTTGCTGAACGCATCCCAGTCTGGGGAGGGGGTGGTTAGGGCTGGGAGAGAGGGAAGGACAAGGTCTGTGGTAAAGTGGGGGCTCAAAAAACCCAGGAAAGTGTGCACAGGGAGTCCGAGTGCAGTTCAGAAAAGCAGCTTTTCCAGAAAGCGGGATACAGGCCAAACGACAGCTGCTCCTAAGAGAGGGGCGCAGGACAGCCCAAGGTTGCCGCTGGCTCAGAGAGCTGAGCTCGGAGAAGCCCTGAAGGCGGTTATTTCGGAAAGTCGGCCTAAGGTACATCTGGGTGGCTGCCTTTAAGGCAAGCAGGGAGTTCTCAGCAAACCAAGCGCGGGGGGAGGGGAGGAAGGCAGCAACCAGGTCTGGGGTCTCGGGAGACGGGGGTGGTGCAGAAGAGGCTACTTCCGGCCGCCCAGAAGCTAAGGCGAAGGGCTTGCGGGCTGAGACAGGTCCTACGGGAGGATGAAGCAAAGACACGTAGCCTGTGGACCCGGGCGGACGCTTGAGGGGAGAAGGGGGCTGTTACCTGCAACATCCCGGTTGTCCATCTTGAGACTCATCCAATCCCACAATGCTCCGGCGCCACCTGAGGGAGGCCTGTTATACTGCGCATGGCCTGATGGGAGATGTAGTCCGCATCGGCAAACCACACCATGCCATTTCGTGGATGCCTGCGGTCTCCCTAAACAGGAACGCAAACTTCACCCTATCGGCAATGTCTGGTCTCAGTCCCGCGGGCCAGAGTGTGTCGCCTTTTTTCTCAGACCTTCCCGAAGCCGCGGCCACACCAAATACAAACTGCTTGTTCCAGGATGCTTTGTGTAGCAGCTCTCGCGAGAGACGCAAGGCGCTCCCAGCCCCGCCCCGTGCGCCTGCTTCCGCCTCCCTGTGGCGGCGGCTTGTTGTTGTGGAGGCCAAAATGGCGGCTCAGGCGGCGGTGGCTGCCCAAGCGGCGGCGGCCCAGGCAGCGCAGGCCGAGGCGGCCGAGTCGTGGTACTTGGCGCTTCTGGGCTTCGCTGAGCACTTCCGCACTTCCAGTCCGCCCAAGATCCGCCTGTGCGTGCACTGCTTGCAGGCCGTATTCCCCTTCAAGCCACCACAGCGCATTGAGGCCCGAACGCACCTGCAGCTCGGCTCGGTGCTCTACCACCACACCAAGAACAGCGAGCAGGCGCGCAGCCACCTGGAGAAGGCGGTGAGCGCTGGCCGGGTCGCGAGGGAGGAGGCGCGGGCTCTTTTCCGGGATTGGACTGATGGGCCCGCGACCCTGGCGGGCGGGGGCCGCTTTGGCCGTTCCTCGGGGACCTGGAGCGTGACTTCCGCACGAGCAGCAGGACCCCGAAGCTGTCAGCCTTTCGGGAGACCCAAGGGTCTCGCCTGTGCCTTACTTAATGTATCTGGTGGCAGGTAGAGGTCTAGGACCGCGTTCAGGGTACTCTTAGAGGAGCAACAGGCTCCCCAAATTCTTCGGGTTTTCAGGAAAATGTCATCTTTGGGCACCCGTGGGGACGCCCCCAGATCGGTCAGTGGGTCCAGCAGCTTCTAGCTTCTCAGGGCTAAGGAGCGTCAGCCTGAACTGTCCTTTCTGAAGTCACTCGGGATAGGGGAGGGTCCAAGTGACAGTCCAGGCATCTCCCGAGAATCTGAAGTTTGGTCTCTGAGGAAATCTAGGAAAGCATCCTCTCCCAGGACACGGAAGTCTGATAAGGGTCTAGAGGGTATTGTGCCTCCACTAGTGATGCAGGGGAGTCATTGGTGGGAGACAGAGGCCCAGAGTTTAGAGTCGGTCAGTTGAGGTCCTTTAAGGAGGCAGAACTGAGCGGGGTCTGGATTCCAGGAGCAAGAGCTCCTTCTTTCTTCGTATCCTCCCATGATTTCTCTTCCTCCCACTGTCCACTGATCCGCCCCCTTCAAAGGGCAGGCCCTGTCTCCTCATGTTAACTTGTGGGATCTTGGTGTCTCAATGTGGGAAAGTGGTTATCATTCTGCCCTTTCTGGCTGTGGAGTTGCTTCTTTTCACTGTACTCCTGTCAGTGTCTCCATTTGCCATTTACCCAACTCTATTCTGCTTAAAGGAAAAACATTTTGAATAGAATCGACTTCAATTTGAAAAGCGATTTGAAAAGCGTCTTGATCTGAGGTAAATCTGAGCCCACCTGTAGCTAGTAACAAGTTGCCTCCGGGAGAGCAATCATATCTTGTTTTGCAGACTGTAAAGTCCTTGCTTGATCAACTTCTTTGTTTAGTCCTTGCTTGATCAACTCTTTAGTCCTTGCTTGATCAACTTCTTTGTTTCAGGAGTGAGGCAGTATGGGCCCAGAGGGGTGAAGTGATTTTCCCAAAACCACACAGCAAGTTATTAACAAAACTGGGCTCAGACCTAGGCTCAAGATCGCCAGGTTCTATGTCAAGACCATAAGTCACTGTTGTTTTTGTGAAGTTTTTTTCCTTTCATTCATTCAGCAGATATTTAATCAGCTCACACCAGATGCCAAGCCCTATTCTGCCCACATAAGCTTATGTTTCTGTGAGGGAGACAAACAATGAATGCATAGTAAAAGGTTAAGCAGTGATAGGAGAGCCATCAAAAATGTGGACCATGATGAAGGGATGGAGTTGATGAGAGCTAGTTTTGTCAGAGATAGGGAGTAAGTCTTTATTTGTGGGAGTGACATTCAAACAGAGGACTTAATGGGGTGGTGGGGTAAGCCTTGAGAACCTCTCGGGGTATGAGGTCAGTCCCTTGCAGTGCCCAAGATATCAGTGACTGGTTGATGTCAGGGTCTCTCCTGGGAAGTGACGAGGCTTCAAATGAACTGTTAGGCTTCCTTGGGTGTTGGGGGGAGGGGGTGGGCTGTCGGCTGTGACTGCGCAGGCCTCGTGACCCAGTGCCTTTATGAAGTGGATGTGCTGGTTCTGAAGCTTTCCCTTCTCTCAATTAACAACAGATCTTGCCACCTCCTTCCCCTTGTCTCAGGGCCATTCAGCCTATTTTTTTCCTTTTCTTTTAATTAAAATATAGTTGACATAAAGACATTGTGTTACCTTCAGGTGTACTGTGTAGTGATTTGACATTTGCGTGCATTATGAAATGATCACCATGATAAGTCTAGGAACCATCATTCCCTGTTCAGTTATTACAGTATTATTGATCATGTACTTTATGGTGTATATTACATCCCCATGGGTTGCTTATTTTATAACTGGAGGTTTGTACCTCTTAACTACCTTCACCTGATCCATCCCCACCACCCAGCTGCCATCTGGCAACCATTGTTTGTTCTTTGTGTTTATGAGTCTGTTTTCATTTTGTTTGCTTATTTGTTTTGTTTTTTAGATTCCACATATAGGTGACATCATGCAGTATTTGTCTTTCTCTGTCTTATTTCATTTAGCATAATACTCTCTAGATCCGTTTATGTTGTTGCAAATGTCACGATTTTATTTTGTTTTAATGGCTAAGTAATAGTACCTTGTATTTATATACCACGTCTTCTTTATCCATTCAGCTATTTGTGAACACTCAGGTTGCTTCCACATCTTGACTATTTTAAGTAACGTTGCCATGAACATTGGAGTGCATATATATATTTTCAAGTTAGTGTTTTTGTTTTTACTCGGTAAATACCCAAAAGTGAAATTGCTGGATCATATGGTAGTTCTATTTTTAATTTTGGGGGGAAACTCCATACTATTCTCCATAGTGGCTGCACCAATTTACAATCCCACCAACAGTGCACGAGGATTCCCTTTTCTCCACATCCTCACCAACACTTGTTATTTGTTGTCTTTTTGATGATAGCGATTCTGACAGGTGTGGGGTGGTATCTTGTGGTTTTGATTTGCATTTCTCTGGTAATTAACATCTTTTCATGTGTCTTTTCGTCCTTTCATGGCCATCTATATGGATTCTTTTAAAAATGTCTGTTCAGGTCCTCTGCCCATTTTTTAATTGGGTTTGTTTTTGTTTTTGTTACTATGTTGAATTGTATGAGATTTTTGTACATTTTGGGATATTAACCTCTTATCGGATATATTGTTTGCAAGTACAATCGACCCTCCGTATCAGTGGATTTCACATTTGCAGATTCAACCAACCAAGGATTCCAGGGCTGACTGTATTCATTGTTCTACACCATTTTATATAAGGGGCTTGAGCATCTGTGAATTTTGGTATCCTCAAGGGCTTCTGGAACCAGTCCCCTGAGGCTGCTGAGTGACGGCTGTATCTCCTCCCATTCAGTAGGCTGCCTTTTTGTTTTGTTGATTTCCTTCCCTATGCAAAATCTTTTGTAGTTTAATGTAGTCCTATTTGTTTATTTTTGCTTGTGTTTCCATTGTCTGGGGAGACAGATCCGAAAAAATATTGCTAAGAATGATATCAAAGAGTGTACTGCCTATGTTTTCTTCTAGGAGTTTTATAGTTTCAGGCCTTACACTTTAGTCTTTATCTATTTTGAGTTTATTTTTGTGTGTAGAGTGAGAAAGTAATCCAGTTTGAATTTTTTTGCACATGGCTCTCCAGTTTTCCCAACACCATTTATTGAAAAGATTGCCTTTCTCCATTATATTTTTTTGCCTCCTTTGTCATAGATTAATTGGCTATATAAATGTGGGTTTACTTCTGGGCTCTGTATTCTGTTCCATTGATATATGTGTCTGTTTTTTGTGCCATTACCATACTGTTTTCATTACTGTAGGTTTATAATATACTTTGAAACCAATGATACCTCCAAGCTTTGTTCTGTTCTTCTTTCTTGAGATTACTTTGGCTATTTGGGGTCCTTTGTGTTTCCATATGATTTTAAACATTGTTGTAGTTCTGTGAAAAATGCCACTGGTACTTTGAGAGGGATTGCATTGAATCTGTAGATTGCCTTGGGTAGTATGGTCATTTTAACAATATTAATTTTCCCAATCCATGAGCACAGTATTTTTTTCCCATTCTGTTTTGTTGTTTTCAGTTTTTTTCACTGATGTCTTATAGTTCTCAGAGTGCAAGCCTTTTATCTCCTTGGTTAGATTTATTTCTTTTTGATGCAATTGTAAATGGGATTGTTTCTTAATTTCTCTTTCTGATTGTTATTAGTGTATAGAAATACAACAAATTTCTGTATGTTAATTTTGTATCCTGAAATTTTACTGAATTCATTTATTATTAGTTCTAATATTTTTGGCGGCATCTTCATGATTTTCTATATATGGTGTCATATAATGTGCAAACAGTGACAGTTTTACTTCTTCCTTTCCATTCAACTTGTTTCTAGCAGTGGTTCATAGTTGTTACACCTTTCTTTCAGTCATGTGCATCCCCAGCTGGAATTTTGTCCAGATTTCAGTTAAAGGCCATTCTCTGTAACGTTTTCTTTCTGCAATTGTTTGTGATCTCCTTTTGCATTACAATGCAGGCATGCTGTCTTTAATCTTCATTCTTTATTAGTTGTGCATTTTTTCCAAACTAGGCAGCTGTCAACTTTTATTCTTTCCTTTCCCAAACTTACTAGGTAGAGAATCACATGTTCTCCATTTAGAAGTGGTTTGCTAGTTTCTAGTCCTAAAAAACACATGGCCAGAGAGATTCCAATTTCTCTTCAGGGAGCCAATCCAGAGCAACAACAACAACAACAAAAACTAGCAACTTTTTTAGAAAGAAGGTAAATGACTCTCAGGGATTTGGGGACT